TTTCCATATTGATGTTCATAAATAATAATAATAATGTAATTAATGTATATAATACATTGGTGGCAGAATTCAATTGTATCTATATCTGAATTGAAGGGGTTATATTTTTAGGAGTGATTAATTTTTGGGAAAGTAAGTTTTGGCTTTCTACTACTCCATCTTGATACAAAAAACAAGGATGTTGTTTTTTGTATCAAAATGAAGTAGTAGAAAGCCAAAAACTTTCTTTCCCAAAAATCTATATCTATTTTTCTTAACAAAACTTCCTTGAAAATTGAATAATTATGTTTTTTTCATTGTAATCTGGCCGAAAAACACTAGTGTTGAAAATACTTTTTAACGTGTTGAAAATTGTGTTGTGATACTCTTGACAACCATTAAAAATGCCACTTTTATTGACAGTTGTATAAAAAGATGATTTTTCCATCATAGATGTTTTTGTTTCGAATTGTGACAGAGATGATACTCTCTTCATTTCATTTGAATATCAGTGAATGATCTACTTTCCTCGTTTCTGCATTTTGTTGTTTCATTCGATTTTTCCATGTGGAAAAAAGTTACTGATTATTACATCTAACATATAACACAGACTTTTATATTTGGATTTGAAAAACAAAGAAACGTGCTGACCTCCGCGAACATGTTTTTGCCTGAACTTTTTACTTGTCTGTGTCAAAAATAATATTCAACTACATTAAGATACTCATTATTATTCAACAACCTCAAGTAATGTGTTTGCTTGAAATATTACCATATTAATACAATTCGTCACCGCGTCACGTGAAAAAGTTAAATGATCGTTAGGCTTTGGTGAACTTATAGGTGAAATGAAATATTTTCAATCCGCAGTGCATTTTATAGTTTTCAGCAATTATTCATCCTGTCATATGAATTGGATTGCGTGTTTTGTTCACACATTCACAAGTAGCACGAAATCTTGAGCTTAAAAACAAATTGTTTTCATAATGATTTCGGCATTCGAAAAACGTAAAAAAATTTCAAAAAGTTTACAAACTTCAGATACAACACATCATACTATATCCCATATCACTCCTATCACTATCCTTGCTGGCTTCTTCATCATGCTATACAGGGTGTAACATAAGTACGTTAAAATATTCTAGTGACGTATTCCTGAGACAATTTCAAGAAAAAAGTCTATATGAACTTGTGTCTGAAAATGCTTCGTTTCGGAGATACGGGGTGTTGAAATTGAATTTGTTAGCTTTTTGAAAATAACTCTTGCAAAAAATAAGTGATTTGCATGAAATTCGATACCCGGGGTTTTTTGAACGTGGAAAATCATAATTTCGTATTAATTTTCATGTAACATCTAGAGGTCGCTGCGTACGCTGTCATTATTTATTTCAAATTGCCCTAATTTTTTTGACAGTAAACTTTTGGTACTCTTCATGAAAAAACCTAATTTTCACACCTTTTACAAGTAAAAAAGGTACATACCTCAACAACGCTGAAGGTGATCGTTTTCGAGATATTTACAATTTTCTATATCGATGCATATTACTTAGCTCCTAGGGCGATAAGGGAAGTTGCTGAGAACATTACAAAAACTAAGTTTGTGGTGGATTTCGTCAAAATAAACAACTTTTTTCTATAATATGTTTGATGAAAATAACTGAACTTATGACAAAAACCTACCATGTTTTGAGAAATTTCAACAATCTGTATTTCGAAAACGAATCATTCTTCGTTGAACAATTTATAGAATCGATATAGAACATTGTAAATATCTCGAAAACGATCACCTCCAGCGTTGTTGAGGAGTTGTACTCTTTTACTTGGAATAGGTGTGGAAATTAGGTTTTTTCATGAAAAGTACCAAAAGTTCACTGTCAAAAAATTTGAAATAAATTATGACAGCGTACACATCGCCCTCTAGATGTTACATGAAAATTAATACGAAATTATGATTTCCCACGTCAAAAAAAAACCGGGTACCGAATTTTGTGCAAGTAATTCATTTTTTGCAAGAGTTATTTTCAAAAAGCGATCAAAAAATTTCTATTTCAACACCCGTATCTCCGAAATGAAGCATTTTCGGACACAAGTTCATATAGACTTTTTTTCTTAAAATTGTCTCAGAAATACGTCACTTGAATATTTCAACGTACTTATGTCACACCCTGTATAGAAAGTTTGTTGAAAGTGAATGTTTCAGCTAATTCTGTTGTAAAACTGAGATATTTTTTGCAGTTTTTGAGATATTTGAAATAACTGAAAAAGTGCATAATCTGAAACAAGTTTCTCAGTTCCCAAAATTTTTCCTTTTCAAAACCCTATAAATAATTTCAGTATCACTAGAAGACTATTGTTTTACAACAATATTTATTACATATGTCCAGAAAAAAACTAGCAGGTTAAAAAAAATGAATAGTTTCATTTTTTATCATCTGGGGACAATGCACACTAGGTGAAATTTGTTACATTCGTGTAGTTCATGTACAATGTACAGGGTGTCCCAAACTCGAACTAGCAGGTTAAAAAAATGAATAGTTTCATTCTTTATCATCTGGCGACAATGCACACTAGGTGAAATATTTTCCATTCGTGTAGTTCATGTACAATGTACAGGGTGTCCCAAATTTGAGGGTGACCATTGAAATCTAAGAAACCATAAGAGGTACAGGGTCGGTTGAATTGAGGCAATGTTGCGTAATTTGATACTATTAAAAATGATTTTTTTGAAATCTACAAAATTCTGAATACTTTCGGAGATATCCTGAAAAAACTGAAATTGAACAAATTAGTCTTTATTTTTTTCTGACGTTATTGAAAGCGCTATTGAAAAACAAAAAAAATTCTCAATCTACTCGTTCTACAATATGCAGTGCTCTTATTTCGATTCCGACGTTTCGTTCAGCATCAACTCTATTTTATATATTGACCAATATGATGAAATACTCTGTATTCGATTGAGCTTTTGTTTTTCTTCAAGAGCAAAACACAAGCACTACAAGAGAATCTTCAAGGCGCTCTAAACGCGGTGCCTGTGCGAAAGTTGCGATTCACATTGAATTTGGATCGCTGGAGATTAAATTCATTTGGGAAAACGTTCTCAGGAAGTTCATTCCACATAAACGCAGTTCTCCAAATGGAAGATTTTTTGAACAGTGATGTACGAGGTGTACTGAGTTGAACCTCAAAACGGTAAGCAGCCACAATCCGTGGCGTATTCGTGATATATACGGCTCTTGATGGAATCAAATGTGCCAAGTCACTTGAACAGTTTCCGTTGAATGCATCTATAGAAGAGAGACAAATCTGCAACTTTTCTCCGATGTTCCAGACTGTCAAGGTTGCATATCAGCTTAATAAAGCATCAAAAGTTGCAATTTTTTACCTGCACCAAAATCCTTCAAAAACGTCATTCTACAGGTGATTCCGAATCGAATGAGCTATCGCTCATATTTTTAGGACCTTTATCTCTATTTTTCATGTTTTTAAACCTGTTGATTAGACTATAAACCATTAGACGTTCCGTTCAATGAATACTAAGTAGGTAAATAAAAGAAATGGGAACTTTTAAATTCGATCACAAAACTATAATATCAAATCATCAACAATCATTTATGAAAGACGTACAAACTGTAGTTAACCGACCTAATTTTGATATGGAACGTTGAATGAACCTGGCGGGAATTGACCTAATTCCTCTAATTGAATTGAGGCTCAGTTGGTCAATATAATTAAGTATCTCGCGGCATAAACGATTTTTGGGGTAACCCCATAGAAAACAAACCAGAGGGTTCAGATCTAGGCTTCTAGCAGGCCATTGTACAGGTCTCCGTTTTCTAATTCATATAGAAACAATTATTTCAAATTAGTTGTGCGTAGATTTTCGCGAGTGTCGAAGTGTTGAAATAACGGTTCGGTGTTGGGATAATACTTCAGTAACAGTCACCATTCCTTAATATGAAGCCCAACATTTTATCAGCTGAAGACATGATACGTTTAATATGAGGATTGAATGACATCTTTCGATCAAATAGTATGCTAAGGTCGCACTTTTGAGACAAACGATTCAAAATTGTATTATTGATATTGTGTGGAAATATCAATATATTTTTCCCCGAGAAGGTAACAGTTAACATTTGTTGATATTCAACTCAAGGTGGTTTTTAGTACAGTATACTGTGTTGATGTCATGCTGTGATGAAGTTCAATATTGAGTTGTCAAGTTGTTACACCCCTACGAACGACAACCCTCAGAAGTCGAAAATTGTGCAAGCTAAGAATTAACTAGGTCTTACCGTTTAACATGATTCGTAATACGGGTGGCACGATAACAAGTGAAAATTGATCGTTCAGCCTGGGGCTTGAACCACCGACTAACACAGCGGTTGATTAGAGTGAGTGAACAAAGAACCCACGTCGAACCGACCGACCGACCGTTACATTTTCAAGTCATTAGCATATATTACGGCATTGATGGCATTAATGAAGAAGATTTTCGTGACTTCCTTGAAAAATGTTCGACTATAATCCAATTTAATATTTAAGATACCGTACACTAAAAATATGGTTCATGTGAGAGTTTATACCTGAGCAATGTGTCCATTGACCTGAGTATATTGAACTGGAACATTATTATCGATTAGAACCTAAATAATTCAGAACGGGAAGATGAAAATTCACCGGCAGACTACAACGTTGAATAGTGGGTTATATTTTTTTCAGTATCATTCATTGTGAATGAACTTATTCGACACGATTCATCATGAAATTTTTGTAACAAGAGGTTTTCAGAGAGTTACATAATGAATAGATGAATATTAGCCTCTTCATGAAACTATTGTACAGAAAGAATAGGAAATGAACATTCCATGAATGTATTTTCTTTTGGTTCGATTACGAAAGCACAAGAGTTGTTAATTAAATATCTGCTCTCCATTCGGGTACCCAACTTCTCTTTGAGTATGAAAATAATTTTAACAAATTGATGGATGTAGCCGTTACTACGTGGTAGGATTTCATAAAGGTATGGTTTCGCTGGCACGTCTGGCGACGGCGACTGGTAGCAGCGTCTCTGGGAATCGCAGTCGCAGTTGGCGGTCGCTGCGGCAAGTGGTTTGGTTGGCGCGCCCAGAATCGCATTTTTGAGCTACTACGGCCTGGCTATCACGGCAGAAAGAACAGGTGTTCAAATGGATAAGAATAATTTGTTACAATTAATGTTAATACAAGAGGAAGAAGAGGATGAAGAGCATATGTTACTTCACCATATCTTCCAGAAAAGGCGTGGGATCCAAAACTTATTTGTCAAGAGGAGAGAAGAAGGATATTTCAAGCTACTCATTGCCCTTTTGAAGACGGACGATTCAAAATTCAGAGAGTGTTTTCGTTTAAATCTCGATCAGTTCCATTTTGTTGTAGCACTTATACGAGACGACCTTACAAAACCAGGAACAAATGCAGTTCCACTGCCGATTACTGCGGAGGAAAAACTGGCACTAACATTAAGGTAAGTAGATAATACAAAACATAATAAATACTATGTGTTTGATATTTGGAAATAACTTTATTTTGGACAAGTGACAAATCTACATTATGTAATAAACTAATAAACAGAAATTATGATGAAACGTAACAATGATTCCAATAATAACGTAATCAATAAAAGGTTTTTTATAGTTCTTGAAGGGTGAAGTCAGCAATGGTTGAGGATTCTAGAACAGTTGGAGGTTGTGAAGAAGGTATTGGAGATGATGGTTGTTGTGTGTGTGGATTGTAAGACTGATAGTAGTTACCTAACCGATTGTTTGCACTCAAGTTATATCTCGAATTATACTAATGTGCTTGATTTGTATGGAAAGACATTGCTCTAGACTCTAAATTAGTCACGAGAGTTAAAATACCCAATTTCGCTTCATTTATTAATGGTTTTGGTAGTGTCTTAACTGTTAAGCTTATACTTTTCATAAAGAGATCTAAGTCATCAAGTTCTGGTGCTTCGGTCTGTTTCTGCACAGCTTGTAAAATTTCAGTTCTCTTCTGAGCCCTGTCTTCAAAACGTTTAAGATAAGCCTCCTTGGGATCATTGCTGCGACTCCTCTTCATATTTGGTCTTGCTGATATAGCGGTGGAACTAGCAGCTGAAGAACAACGACTGGCAGTAGTGGTAGATATTGTATCGCTTTCTCGAACATTTGGATAAGATTGGTTGTCAGAATCTAATGCACTGGAGCTTGAGGGATCCAACAATTCTTCAGGACCAGTATCATCGACGGATAAATTTGATTCGTTGTTGTCGACAGATTCACTTTCGATCTCGCTCAATTGGCTTCCATCAAAATTCAGTGTGTTTTTTGAACTTCGTTCTTGTACAACTCTATCTAGAAAGGAGAGGCGTTCATAAAGGTTCCACTTTACTGGTTTGTCTGACGCAGATGAACCGGTTTCCATTTTGCGGTTTCTTTTATGATGAAAATAAGTATCTTTTATACCTTTCCATCGCTTTTTACATGCGTCAACTGAAAAAGAAAGAAATTGTTCAGTTTTGGGCATGTCTTTTGAATTTGAACAAAAAATGATGCAAATTTAATGACACGTATAGTAATTCTATAAGATACATTTTTTTACAGATTTATGGCAACTGGCGAGACATTCAGATCTTTAGCATTTGCCTTCAGGATTTCGCACAGCTATATTATTACTTTAGTAAAAGAAACTTTATTGAGTATGTGTAAGCATTTAGTACCAATGTTTATACCAGCGCCATCTACGGACGTACTCGAACGAAATGCAGAAGAATTCTGGCAGCGATAGAATTTTCCAAACTGTGTTGGAGCTCTGGATGGCAAGCACATACGAATTTTCGCCCCTGCCAAGTCTGGATCTTTATATTTCAACTACAAAGAATACTTTTCTATCGTTATGCTTGCCCTAGTTGATGCAAATTACAAATTCGTCGTTTTGGATGTTGGTTCGTACGGAAAAGAAGGTGACAGTTCGATATTCAATAAGTCAGCTTTAGGAAAAAAAATATTAACGTCCGAAGATTTTTTCCCAAAAGATCAATTTTTACCGAATTCAACCAAAAAATTGCCACATGTAGTTGTTGGAGATGAGGCTTTTCGATTGCATAAACGCATCATGAAACCTTTCAATAAACTTACGGCAAATTCGGACAAGAGGAATGCCGTATTTAACTACAGATTGAGTCGAGCGCGAAGAGTAAGTGAAAATGCCTTTGGATTGATGTGTCAGGTATTTCGAGTGTTTTATACACATATAGCTATAAAACCTGAGGTCTGTGATAATTTAATAATTGCAGCTTGCTGCCTACACAATTTATTACGAGAAGGATATTTGGAAACAAACCAACGTCCACACTATGTAGGTATATGATTCAAGTGAAAAACCATCCAATAGCAAGACGTTTCAGAACTTTTCTAGGCCAGGTGGATTTCAAAATTCTGATGGTTTTCACATTAGAGATGCATTTGTGAATTTCTTCAACCAGGAGGGAGCTGTAGATTGGCAAGACATTTCAAAAGACATTTCAAAAGAACATTAATTAGGAATATTTCCATACTTCATACAATTTCATATACATATATCCAGAAGTGTACCGTCTATTCCCTTAATTCATACCTATACAACCATGTATGTGCCCCACCCTATATATTCCAAATAAATTTATATGTATTCATATTCACTTACCATCTTTCTTTACTGAAAATGCAATTTTTTTCCATGCATTTTCTTTTACTAAGAAGTTCTTATAATTTTCGCTTTGGTAGTCGTATATGACTGAATATTTCTGAACTTCTTCAATTAAGATCTCGTCTTCACTTGTGGAGAATTTCGCCATTTCTGTACACTCGGTCGCACGGTAGCGCGTCTTGACTGGTCTACTCAACTGCTGAGTAGACCAGTAATTATCCTGGAAAAAGTCATAGTACTTCAGTAAGTTTCCGTTTATAATATTGTATTATATTAACACACTTCATTAGTTCTGTAGTAGTTTATTGTAAATAACCAGTAATATTTTGTAATTAATTATTTCCAACATCAATATAGAAATTTTCAATGCTTGACTTCTCCAACATAAAAATACAAATCTTAATTGGAGTCAATACTAATTATGTAATATCAAATAATTTGTTGTGGAAAATTCCATAATAAACTTGGGAACAAGGTGTTATTCTAGTGTGCGCGCATTCCTCACTTGCCAGGACACGCTATATTATTGAATATAATGATCAGCAGTTACGTTATAGGTTAGAATTTTTTTTTCAGATTCTCATCAGGTATGTCGACAAATTAAACAACTGGTTCTTCCCATGAATACATTTTCAGTTTTCCTGTATATATTATTTAATCTATGGAACATACTTTTTCGAGTTCTTCTTGTTCCTTATATTATTTAGTTTAATGAATATTAATTTTTATTTGTTGAAATATTTATTTTATGTTGATTCTCTGTTGTAATAAATATTTTTGTAATGGTTTTTGAATTTTATTATGCAATAATCCTTGTGATTTTACACTTTTCAATTTACAATTTATTTTTACATATACCTTCCCTTTATATAATGGAAATCCACAGAGGAATTCGGGATTTCGCATAGTAAAGATACAGTTCCCGTATTGTATCAATACTGATATTCTGAAAAAATTCCATTTCGAGTAATGTACAATTATATGAAGGCTACAGTGCTACTATTAATAAAAATTTCCTCAATATATCGTTTATAATAACCTTATTTGTGATGTAATTTTAAATTCAAATCTTTTTTACTGTGAAATTTTACTAAATGAATTGTGTTATGCTTTCTATACTGGAAAAAAAATTACGTGATTAGTATCGTTATATGATTACAAAATAGATTGTTGTAATAAATTACCAACGATAAATAGTGTGATTATTTTTATCAGTGTACTTCAAGTTTTCACAAACTACTCGGGAAACGATCTGATCTTCACAAATTCCATTTCCAAAAATATCACGACATGTTTCGCTTTCACAGTAGCTTTTTTGTAGTGAATAACCTACTACATGGCCTAAAGCTTTTATTATAATTTCAATTCTGTAAAGTCCTAAATGAATGTGGTTAATGTGATTTAAAATTTTATTTTGATCTTTTTAGGGCACTCAAATAAAATCTTGTTTTAAAAGTTTTTTATATTTATTTTATATTTTTTAGTTTCATATGATAGGAGGTCGCCTGTTGTTGTTTCCGAAAGCCATATTGATGATCGCTCAAGATGTTGAAGCCTTTCAAATATTTAAGAATATGGTAGTTTTTCTTGCCCTTTCTCGATGACGGGCACTTCATCAGGACCAGACGCCTTGTTGATATTAAGCTATTTCAAAATATGTGAATATATTGTAGAACATACAAGCCACATATGTTGTTCTCTGTTGTACATAGTGAGCCATTTAAGTTGTTTGTTTTCCTGTAACAGGTATGCTTTTAGGAATTCCATAAATAAATCGAACACACGATGGTTGTATTTTTTGAATACGACGTATATCTGAACTATTAGCAATAGTTGTACCCTTCATAACTCTAGAGAGTGGCATATCCTTTTTAAAATGATTATATTAGCTTCAATTGTATGTTCGTTTGTAACTGACTCCTTTGGACTCAATTTTGATTAACTTCATAAACGTACAGGTGAATTTTAAATTCTGTATCAAGAATCGATGACAACACAATAATTTCAAAGTTTATTTCATTATCCTGACCAGGATCGACAGGATTAGATAATTTCCTCACACAGTCTCTGTGTGAGGATTTATTTATTGGAAACAAACTAGGCACTCGTGTTTTTTTTTAGTGAATGTACAGGGTGTCCCAAATTCGAGGGTGACCATATAGGTTGAAAGAGTTATAAATATAAGTTCAATTGAGGGAAAGTTGCATGATTCCGTACTGTTCAAAATGATATTTTGTAATCTGGAAAATTCCGAATATTTCCGGAGATATTCTGAAAAAACCGACAATGCCCGATGTTTTTTTTCCCTGAATTTATTTCAAAACAAAAACACTTTTAATTCCTTTTTTATTGAAACGCTTTTATCAGCTTCACCTGTATTTATGTATGTTTGTTTGATTGTTTGTTAGTTTGTTCCTAACTCTCCTTTTCATTTCATATTCACTCCCGTTTGAATGCTCGGGATCTGTATTTGACACAATTACCGAAATTATTGCTTGATCTATTCACGGGCAGATGGCGCTGTGCGTAACCCCCTTGATATAATTCGAACTCACTTTACATGTATTTCTTCATTTGAAAAAAGTATTTTTTTTATTAACACGCGCGCCTGCTGCTTTATTTGTAACCCTCCTTTGCGTCCCTATTGCCTTCCTTGGGCTTGGTAGCTGATTTTCAGACTCCCTCTCCGGAATCGGAAAATATCAATGGTCATTTTTCTAAACAATATACGGCTTATTTATTCCAAAGTTTAGATAAAATGAATATATTTCAAAAAGACTAAAAGCACGCTTTTATAGCATACGAAACTGAAAAATTGAAAAATAAATATTGTTTATAAAACTAAAAAACACGCTTTCAGAGAACATAGAACTGGAAAGTTAAAAATATTTTTTTTAATAAGCTTAAAACAATAACGAACGAAAAATACTGGTATTATTGGGAAAATAGCGTGGGCGTATTTATCGTTCGTTATTGTTTTGAGGATATTTAAAAAAAATCTCTCTTAACTTTTCAGTTCGATGTTCTTTAAAAGCGTGTTTTTTAGTTTTTTTGAACTGTATTTATTTCAACACGCTCTCATTAGCTTCAGTTGTAAATTTTTTTGTTTGTAACCGACTCCTTTGGACTTAATTCTGAGTGAATTTGAACGGACAGGTGTATTTTAAACTTTGTACACTTATAAAAAATCGGTGACCATCTTCGGTGACCATATTTTATATTGAAACAATTGGGCTTGAAATAGCAAGTCAACTAAAAAGTGGAAAATAAATAATACTTTAAGAAACAAAAAAACACGCTTTGAAAGCAACACAAACCGAAAAATAAAAAATGTTTAAAAACTAATTTAAGATTGTGTTCAACATCGATAATCTATTCATGAAAAACTGTGTTGAAAGCAACACAAACCGAAAAATAAAAAATTATTAAAAACTAATTCAAGATTGTGTTCAACATCGATAATCTATTCATGAAAAACTGAATTTTGTTGTGAAAAAACGCGTGGTGCCAATCTGGTGAACAGTTTATTTCAAGTTCGGACTTCCATTTGAACAAAAAAACTGAAATTACACAGAAATAACATAGAACCAAACAACAATCAGAAAAATAAAAATTGAAATAATAATAAAAGCTGAAATTTAAAAGTTATTTATTTTTTTCAGGAAATTCAAATCAATTTATATTATATTAGACAATGGAAGTCCAAACTGATGAAATACACCACGAAACATTGTCAACCACCTTCAAACAAACTGGTAAAGAGAAACTGATAAAGAGTTCCTAACCAAAAATGTATAACAATGGTTATTTAGCACCCTATGCATTTTTACAACAAGCTATCAACCACAGAGTGACTGAAGCCAAAATAGTGTAACATCAACAGGAGACTATCATAATCTATTGAGTCAAATGCCGTTTAATAGCCGAACAAAATCGATATGCCCACTTACTTTCTTAATTTTTTCCATTTTATTGTTCATGTAAAAGTAGTTTTTTCATCGCAGTCTGTATCCGTGTCATTCAATGTTCATATGGAAGTTGTTATTTCGGAATTTTTTTCAGAATTTGTACTCGAAAGAAACATCTCTTTATGATCGAGATATCTTTATAAAGTGCTTTCATTGTAACTTCTTACCACTCAACCATAGAAATATTTATTGCCCTACTTTATGAAAAAAAAATACCCTGACTTTGTGAAATATTTGATTCGAGTCCTTTTTCGAAATTATTCGTTAAAATGAAACGTCGTAATACATATATCAGAATTTTATTCGTGCGCAGCTGTTTTGGATTTGAAGGGTTCTCCTTGAATCTCAACCCACTTATACTTCGGGAGAAAGTTAGGAGAAAAAACAAGTAATGAGAATATGCTGTTGACGTCAAGTGGAAAACTTACGGCAAGTTTCACAATTGACTCTCGGTGATCAAGAATTTATTTTCGCTCTTGAAATAAAGGAACTGACATGGTCGTCTTGTTTTTGTAACACAAAATGATGTTCTGAGAATATTCACTGGAAATGGCCACTACAAGACTCGCGATTTGATGATAGGTTCTCAACTTTTTATGGAACACTAGCGAACCCCCCGGCTCCGCATGGGTGCAATGCTGATACCAAATATAATTTCACCCACCAGAAATTCAAAGGCATGCAGAAACAGGCATGAATAGGTAACTTTATTTTATAAACGCGCCTTTTTCCCCGCGGCTGGAGCCTCAATTGGAATATTCGAAAATCCTTTTTTATTGCACATGTACATTATAAAACGAACCTACATATGAAATTTCAGCCTCCGAAAATACAGCTGTACGGAGAAACAGTGCTGAAATAAATATTTATGATATGAGTTCTGAAAGTAAGGTTTTATTTTGTGAGAGAAAAAGCGAAACGAGCGTAGCGAGTTGAGCAATGTCACGAACAAAATAAAACTTACTTTTAACACAAATATCATACAAATTTTTCTGTACAACTGTTCTGTCTTCATAATGAAACAGATGAATTTATTATTTCCATGAAAACACATTTTAATAATAATAATAATACCGTCTTTATTATCTTCTAATACATTCAAATCAAATTAATCATGTACAATTCATTTATTATAAGAAGACAAAAGGCAAAGTTCAATTTACATGATGACAAGTCATCATTCAATTGCTCTTCCACTTAACCTCAAAAA